GGATCACATAGAAATACATTGAATACTTTATGGACTAAAATAATACAATTGAAATATTAGAGACCAAAATAAGACTAATCTCATACTTTGAGAACCTACAATGCAATTAACCCTAAAAAATATTTCTTTATGATGTGACTCAAAATTAGGGGAATTTCTTTGGCGGTCAGCCCTTATAAGGATGTTCAATTATGGTATAAGGATATATTTCATTTCCTTGCATAATACGATAGGTGGCATAGCATTAGTTCATTTAGCTTTCAAAAATTGAATTTCTTCATTAGTTAATCATAATGAATTTAATTGATTTAGTAAAAATTAATACTTGATTATAATAGTTGATGATGCACAAAAGTGGATTTATACATCACTTGTCGAATAATTAATGTAGGTAATAAATGCATTAAACATAAGGTGAGATCAATACAGTTAACACACATATGTATAGTGGTTAGATCAGGGTAACCTACTCCACTTTAAAGACTGTAGCGGTGACGAGTAGTCTTTATTGATGAAGTAGTAGGTGAGAGAGAGTAAGAGTATGCTCTTGGTAGTTATGAGAGAAATAGTTGTATAAGGTGTGTAGAGAGATGCCCCTCTCATGTGGCAAGAGCTTACAATTTATAGGCACAGAACATTGGTTGAGACGGTGACATGAAGGGATAGATGACTAGCTTTTCAGGGAGGATAATTACAACTAGGATAAGTACAAGTAGAGATAGTCTTGATCGTGGAGAGTGGCTATCCTGATGATTACTCCTCACGTGTACTAATCTTCTTAAACTCCTTGAACTTTGGTTTGGGTCGAATCCATGAACTGGACTTAACTTGCCTTGTAGTTGATTTGGACTTAATTAATTGGACTTGACTAGGCTCATCATTTGCCGGATTGGGGGTTGAAGGCATGAGTGAGCCCCTACCTTTGGGTAGAACATATATCTTGTTCCATATAATGGCTTCTTCAGCTTTCCACTCCATTGCATTTTTGAAGCTTATTTCTCTGTTTGGTAACACCATTGTTGGAAAGAGGATGAAGAGAAGCATGAACGCTTCAGTGCACGGAGATGGAGATGCTTTGGTGAGTGATGCCATGGATATGAACCTGTGTAACACCAAGGAAGGCACAAGGTCGGGCAGTGCTACGTGCGATACCATGGAGGACCCAGACAAATTGATGATGTCTTTGGTTTATGAAAATTATCTCTTTCACAGGTGACCTCGTGGTTGATGGATCGATGACAAAGACTCTCAATGTCACTAGGGTGGTGACTTCCTCTCCTCCTAGAAAGGGTGAGATTTGATGCCCCTAATGCTACCCAACTAAGGTCTGACAGTCATGCTGTTTCTTGAAAGACGAGGTTTGATATCTCTAGAGTTTCACATAATTATCCAGCTTCAAGCAGTGGCCTAGTGTCTATGCTGCAGGATGTGAATTTTGGCTAAGGAGAGGCTTTGGAGGTTTATGACACCTTTGGATATTAGATAGGTTAGCTCTCGGGATCTTGAGGGTATCATCGATACCACGATAGAGGGCTTTGCTATGGTACCCTTCTGTTATGTGGAACCCTGTCTTCTGTATGCTTGGTCATACTGATAATTTGACTTTCAAATATTCGCAGATGGTTGTGGCTTTTCTGTACTTTTGAGGACACTCAAACTAAACGAGGTGTCGAGAGCTTTAGTGAAAGAGAGACCTGGGTATCAGGCTGCAATTGAGGTTGGCTCATGAGAGAACAACAGCCCTCAAGGCCTAGCTTCTAGAGAATGAGGCTATTTGTGTGTAAGTACAAGCTGAGTTAAGCCGAGCTTATAGGAGATCAATTGCTTCAGAGCAGATATATGATTAGGCCAAGCTTTTGGTGACTCGGGAAAGAGCCTCTAAGTTGGAGACTGAGAGTGAGAGTAAAGGCAGAATGAGGCCAAGCATTTGGCGACTTCCGTGAGAGCCGCTAAGTCGGAGACATAAGTTGTCTGCATGAGAGTAGAGGCAGAATAAAGCCAAGCTTTTGAAGACTCTCGTGAGAGTCGCTGAGCTAGAGACATAGGCTGCCTGCGTGAACGTAGAGGCAGAGTTAGGCCGAGCTTGTGACAACCAGTGAGAGAGACGCTAAGTTAGAGATTGAGGTTGCTTGTATGAGAGTAGAGACAGAGTGAGTCCAAGCTTTTGACAACTCTCATGATAGCCGCTAAGCTAGAGAGATAGGTTGCCTGTGCGAGAGTAGAGGTAGAATAAGATCAAGCTTTTAGCGACTCTCGTGAGAGCCGCTAAGCTAGAGACATACGTTACCTGCGTGAGAGTAGATGCAGAGTTAGGCTGAGCATGTGGCGACTCGTGAGAGAGACACTAAGCTGGAGATTGAGGCTGCTTGCGTGAGAGCAGAGACAGAATGAGGCCATGCTTTTGGCAACTCTCATGAGAGCTGCTAAGTTAGAGACATAGGCTGCTTGCATGAGAGCAGAGACAGAGTTAGGCCAAGCTTGTGGCAACTTGTGAGAAAGGTGCTAAGCGTGCATGAGAGTATAGGTAGAATGAGGCCAAGCTTTTGGAGACTCTTATGAGAGCCGCTAAGTTGGAGATATAGGTTGCCCGAATGAGAGCAGAGGCAGAATAAGGCCAAACTTTTGGCAACTCTTGTAAGAGTCGCTAAGCTGGAGACATAAGCTGCCTACATGAGAGCAGAGGTAGAATAAGACCAAGCTTTTGGCAACTCGGGAGAGAGTGCGAAGTTGGAGATTTACGATGCTTGTGTGAAAGTATTGCTGGGCGCCGTTGGGCATGGACGCTGGGGAGCTAGGCACCGCTAGGCACGGACGTTTGGGGGCGCAGGGCGCCTCTGGGCATAGACGTCTAGGGGTGTTGGGGGCCGTTGGGCACAGACGTCGAGGGGCACAGATGCCAAGGGGCACTAGGCATAGATGCCAAGGGGCGTTGGGCGCTGTTGGCGATGAGATGCTAGGTGGAGTATTCGACAATAATAAAGAAACGACAAAACCGCTAACGACCAAAACGTTGCGCTTAGTTGTCTGTTTGAGGCGATTTTTTTTTTGAATTTGAGTTTTTTTTCGAGATCTAAGAGATACAAATTTCTCTAAAAAGTTCTTCTTTCTCACAGAATTTGAGTTTTTAACCCCATATTATTGAAAAAATAGATTTTGCATGCGTCTACTTTTCGCTTGTGGTGGCGGGACCTCGTCATTATATGGCAGGTCATCTTCTGCTTGATGGTTCATGAATCTGATTGACTCAATCAACGTTCACACGACGCCAAACTGATGATACACAAAAGTGGATTCATGCACTACCTGTCGAGTAATTATTGTAGGTAATAAATGTAGTAAACATAAGGTGAGATCAATACAGTCAACACACATATGTATAGTGGTTCGGTCAGGGTGTTCTACTCCACTTTGAAGACGACAACGGTGGCCGGTGGTCATTATTGATGAAGTAGTATGTGAGAGAGAGCAAGTGTATGTTCTTGGTAGCTACGAGAGAAATAGTTGTGTAAGGTGTGTAAAGAGAAGTCCATTCCATGTGGAGAGAGCTTAAAATTTATAGACACAGAGTCTTGGTTGTGGCAGTGGCGTGAAGGGATAGGTGACTAACTTTTTCGGGAAGGATAGCTACAACTAGGATAAGTATAAGTAGAGATAATCTGGATCTGGGAGAGTGACTATCTCGATGATTACCCCCCATGTGCACTAATCTTCTTAGACTTCTTGAACTTTGGTCTGGGCCGAATCTATGAATTGGGCTTAACCTGCCTTGTAGCTAATTTGGACTTAATTAATTGGGTCTGACCTAGTTGAATTTGGGCTCATCAATAGTATTTGTTACTCAAAAGTGTATAATCATTTTGGTATGGATATATCTTATTTATTTACATCATGGATAAAAATGCCATTCTCACATGAGTCCATTGCTAGGCATATGGCCTGATGGGGAGTCTGTAATTAGTTGAGTCGTGTTTCTTTAAATAAAAGTCTATGCTAATTACCAGTTTGATTATTTAAATTATGCACATGTTGGGTATTGGAAGCAAATTAGGTCATCAAAGAAACACAAAATCAAGACCTAATACTAGAAATCAATGTATGAATTTCTGCTAAGTGTATTACAATAATTTCAACACAAAATCAAGTAAAATAGGGACAAAAAATCTGCTACAGCACCACACCAATTCCACTCAAAAAACACCTCTATATGTTATCAAAAATGATTACAATATCAAGCAATACAAAGGGAAAAGCTATTCTGATATTTCCAGCAAGAAAAACACTAAGTAAGCTATCAAAAAAACTTACAAACAGAGCTTCTGCTCCGTAGACACTTATTGTATTTCGGACAACAACTCCCTATTTTCCCCCTCTGATTTTTCTACCAAAACCTCTCTTTTTCTTCTCTATTTTTCTGGACAGAATCCTCTCTATTTTGGGCAGCATTTCTTTGCCTTTTATACTCTTTTTTTCATGCTGTAAGCCGACTTCACTGAGCAGCATTCGTTGGTTCCTTCTCACACCAGAAATCGGTTGGCTTGTTGCCCTGCACCAGCAAACTTCCTCTTGACTTTGGACTCTTCTAATGGCTACCCCTTTAACTTTTCTAAAGCCAACAATCTTAAACCGACTAACAAGTGTTGCCCCTTTAAATGCACAAAAGACGATAAGAATGCTTAAATATCAACTAACAACATAACTTTTTAATATTACAACATAAGCCCACAAGGAAAATTCCAAAACTACCCATTAAAGAAATGGGTTTATAAAACTACCAACACATAGGTTGAGATTGTTGAGGAGTCATATTTGTAGAGGGAACTTTTTTGATTTATTTTAAAAAATAATGAGTGCACATTGATTGACAAGTTTTTGTGTTATAGAATGCCTTCGGTACACACATTAATTTGTGATCTTTTATTTGTTACGTAGTGCTTACAGATTTGAGCAATTATTAGTATATATATTATATTAAGTGGGTATCAACCAACTTGTTTTGTGACTTCTCTAACTACTCGCAGTGGGAATCAAGACTTACCTTCTTCATTAGGATTGGTAATTTCTAATTCAATCGAATGCAATTCTTGAAATTGCTCTGGAATCTCTAAAGGACTTGTGCATGCCCTACCCGAAGAGCTGCTTTCAGAAACCTTTAAAGCTTGAACAGTATTGTTTGGAGTTGTACCTGGAAGTTTTATCTCCCTGATACGAAGATTTTGTACTGACCTGACCAACTTTTTCAACATGTTCTTATAATTCCAAGTTAAAACCCCATCGTATGCCTCGGGTTGGCGTCCATACAACTTTTGAGTTGCAAATACAAGATAACAGGTGGTGGAAGTGAGGGCTGAGAAGAGGTAGAGACCCCAAAAACTCCGCCAGTTCAAGCTATCAACCTCGTCGGGAGTTTGAGAGTTCAAGCACTTGGAAGGAGGAGTAAACCACTGAGTTTGCAATTGTTCTATCCTTCCATTCTCTAATAAAGTTAGAATAGCTTGGGAGAAATCAACAGCAATGGGAGATCCTTTTGGAAATACCTGCATGTGAGAGCTTTAGAAAAATAGCATCATCAAATGCATTCCAAAGAAGAAAACTTCAGGACCATACAACCCTATGAAACCTGATATGTATGATAAAAACCAGTTAAGAAGTTCAACCCTAACAAATACTCTCCATATGGGAGGTTCTTATCATTCTCTAGGGAAAAAAGGAAAGAAAAATAACTGAAGTGATTTACAGTTACAGAGAAAACACAAAGGCGATGAAATAGAGGAAGTAATGATCTCATTGATTATCCTCAGTTCCACCCACGTACAAGCTGCATCTAAAATATATATAGGAAAGTAGTGGAGAGCCAGTAGTATTCCTAATAGATTCTAACAAACTGCAATTGTAGCTGTTCAATTACAATTGATTAGTAAGTTAGTTTTAAATACAGCTTAATTTGTTTGATTAGGTACAAGTAGTTGGTGTAGTGTGATAGTTATCAATAGCTTCATGCAAAGTGAGTGAATTGAAGATAGAAAGTACAGTAATGTTACTTGGATTGTAGGTCAATTTGGTTACTTTCTTGTGTATGCGATGCAATGAGCCTAGACTTGGCCATTAAACTGTTTTGGGTTGCGATTTGCCCTGAAACGCTTGTCAGAATCGATTTCACAATTATACAAATTATACATAATTAATATTTATTTTATATTGACATCTTTTTTACTGTTAGAAATTATACATAATTATAAATCTATAAACCCAGCCAATTAATATTTCTATATAGTTGTGATAGAAGTTTCAAAATGAAGTGATTATAGGTAACAAATTGAGTTATGCAATTTTGGTGATTTGGGTCGCAAAAGCACGCCATTTGGGGCCGTTGCACCCATGTTTTGGGTTGCCTAAGGTTGTGCGAATTGTGGTAACTTTGACTTGGAGAATGGTGAACTTTCTAAAACACTAAAATTTAGTCTGAGTTTGACAAATATGTAAACCTTCCAATAATAATAAACTTGCAACCGTACTAATTGGTTTTCTAACGATAGCAATCCCCTAGACAACCTTAATTATTATTTTAGAGGAACAACTATTAAAAATTATGCATTGGATTTGATTAATTTGACAAAATATATAGTGTAAACAACTTCAATGACCAAAAAATAAATAATGAAAAATCGACTTCAACTAGCACAACAATGGGGCTTCCATGGACAAGGATTCTATTGTAGTCTAACTCCATAGTATTGATTGATGAACTTTAAAGGAATTCAGGAAATTGGGAAATGCAGGCCATCAAAGATGACTACAGGAGGATAGCCTCATAATTCCAAGCGTGTAAGCTTTTCAGTCACTGGATTGATACTAAGAAGATGTTGAAGAAGCTAAAGTCAAATTGGGAATTTTCTGTCCGTAAGGAACTAGTTAGAATCTTAACTAATGATCTCATGTTATGGGAGGATCTGTTTTATGTGTTTTTGTTTCATTTTAAATTCTATCCTTTAAGCTTCCTCAGACCTCCAAAGAAGGCAAACAAGCAAACAAATTCAAATGTGTAAAAAGTGCCAGTGACTACTCACAAAGCCGAAGCCTCCAAATTTGTGCTCAGCTCCTCCTCTGTGTTCGGCAAGAGTGTATCCCTTGCAGTTGTAATTCAAAAAAATCTGTGCATAAGGGAGGTCAAAAAATGCTGCACTGATGTTGCCGCTCTCAAATTCCCCTGGGTAGTCATATTCACTCCTAATTGTCTTGATGTTCCTAGGATCGAATTTAAGCACATTCTCCAAATACGATCTTATAAATGAATTTCTACCGCAACCAACTGTTGCATTGTTCTTCTTCAGCCAATCTATGTCTGTCACATTCGGTTGAAGGCGTTGGACAGTAAGCATCGAAGAAAGATTGGCAGTGTAGCTTGAGGATAAGGTCAACACAACAAAGAGCCACACCAAGACCAGTATTCGGGTGCAACTGTTATGAACCTTTTCCCCTGCAATATGAACAAGTATTATATGAGTTTTCCTTTTTATTTTCCTATTTTCTTCTGTGTGTGTGTGTGTGTGTTTGCTGATAAATCAAGACCCACACCACAAAGAGCCACACCAAGATCACTACACGGGTGTAACTATTATGAACCTTTTCCCCTGCAATATGAACATGTATTGTATGAGTTTTCCTTTTTATCTTTTTATTTTCCTATTTTCTTCTCTGTGTGTGTGCGTGTGTGTGCTTGCTGATAAATCAAGACCCACACCATAAAGTGCCAGTCCAAGATCACTACACGGGTGTAACTATTATGAACCTTTTTCTCTGCAATATGAACATGTATTGTATGAGTTTTCATTTTTATTTTCATGTTTTCTTCTCTCTATATGTGTGTGCACGCGCTTGCTGATAAATCAATGGGCGTAATATATTTTCATATCCAAGCCGACATAAGCTCATCAGGATGTTATTCTCTATGATTATAAACGATTACACTTACTATGTGCTGAGAATAGCGTGGAGGAAGTGAACCAAAGCACTGAGCCTAGTTGATTCTGCCATGGACCTTCAAATTCTGGATTTGATTGGCGTTCCAAAAGCCAAACTATGAACACAGTGTAGATCAAGATGGCACTAGTCACAGCCCACATTTCCTTGGTAAAAGGCTTCACGAAAATCCATGCCTGCCCTCGTTGGGGCTTCACTGATACTATCATTGCCAAGCTTGACTCAGCATATGGCTGCGTAAATTCCACATATTTTGATCGATTGGCCAGTATGGTTATATCACCAATGACGGCGTCGAAAATCTTCAATTGATTGCGTTGCAGAGTTAAAACACAAGATCATTGTAAGGAACAAATAACTTTGCAATTAATGCCACAAAACATATCCATATAGTAATGCATGCAAATATATATAGAACAAATGGTGAACAAGGATTGATGTAGCCGACCCCAAAACTGTTGGGACAAGGCTTTAATGAGTTGAGTTGTATATATACATGGATATGTTATAAAGATAGACTTGTACAAAATGATTTACCAACAATATTCTTAACAAGAATTTCTATCCCCAATATTATATTTTAAGAACATATAATAAAAGATTTAATGCCATCTTTTAATGATCGGAAAGTAATTTACTACTAAATAAGTCCATCTATTTTAAATTTCTCAATATAAATCTTATAGACACTATTAAGATAAATTTGTTTTGCTTTGACTGACTAGTAATTTTAAAACAGGTAGATATAAATTGAAGTAGAATATTTGCTTGTTTTGTGTATAATATAATCACATATGTATTGAGAATACTTTAAGGAATGGTAGATACAATGAGATCATTCATGAGGTATATCTGCTTATATTTTGTATAATTTATAGGAATTTGGAATACTTTAAGGAATGATGTTAGAGATATATAGTTATTACCTTGTTAGCCACTTGATCAACCAGATCATTGTAGGTGCCGTTGTGGAGTATTAATTCATAAGGTAGGGGGTAACTTTGCTCCAAAATTTTTAGCACCTCATAGAATAGATCAATGCAGAAACCAGAAAATTTCCATTTATTCAAACCTGCATCCCAATCCACCTTCACGAATTTCTGATAATATGATGTGGCTGGAACTCCAATCTTCATAGGCTTTGCATTAGTAGGCATTGCCAATCCTTTTGGAACTCGCTTTAGGTCCCCTGGCCAATTCACCAAACCAGATAATACTTCCATGTCATTAGTGATATTTTCATGTCCACTTTCTTCAATAACAAGACTCTTTGAGAAACCAAATGTCGATGACCAGAAGCCAAGCTCTTTGTATCTCTTTCCAACAATGTTTACAATTCTAAATAAAGAGGACCCTGCTAGCTCTCCAGCATGGAAACGAATGTCACCACTTAAACCAGTGAAGTTGCTTGATAGAATGCTTTTGAGTAATGTACTTGGACAATCACTGCTATTACCTATTCTCTTTATGGCATTTGTAATGGCAGTAATGCTATCATAGGCTCTAAGGGCATAAATACCCATCTCCGAGTTATCTTCCTCAGGGTAATCCAATTGAAAAACTCGCCGAAAATGTTGCTTAATATCTAGAAATGACCTACTGCCTTCAGCATAATATGTCTTGATTCCTAGAGCACCTTCCATGGAAGAGATAACAGAAGTATTAGCAGAATCCAGGAGGCTTGCGAATCGGTCGGTAATTATCCATGCTGAATCTCTCCCAATAAGCCTCATTTGTTTTGCTTCTCTAAACAAATGAACTATCATTGACGATGATAATTGGAGAACAATAAAAACCCTGGATTGCTTACTCAATAGGTCTGCAACTGCTTCAGTAACAAAGGCTTTTGGGTCATCTAGAGAGGAGAATGATGGAAGGACCAAACGATATTCAATTGTCACGCCAACATCTTGCAGTGAATCAGATAATGCAGCAAACATTCCATAATCGCTACCATAGTAGTCGACCTCATAGATTACTATGGCTCTTCGCCAATTGAATGAGCGAACCACATCTGTGATGCACCTAATTTGTTCAATGACGTTGCTAGCCATTTGTACCAAGAAAGGCCATCGCTGAGGAATGAGTGGTTGTATAATGGTGGCTGATGCAAATGAAATAATAGGCATTTGAGTTTTGCTTGCAATGTCAGCAACTAAAGTTGTTTCTTCCCATGTTTCCATGCCAATAAGGACTTTCACGTTCATTGCTTCCGTAAGTTCTTCAGCTGTACCAAAAATTCAAAGTTAATCCATATTTCTACCACAGTTGTTTCCTATTTACATTTGCAGCATTAAAGACATGACAACATCAATAATTAATTTCTTAATGTTTATAGATTTATTTTGTGTGTGTGTACATTGATGTATTCATAGTAGGGTAAATTACATTCAAACCCTCTGAGATTTGTCACTAATACACCCACATCCCCTCATGTATGAAAAATAACATCGTCACCCCTTGAGATTTGATATGTTGTAAGACAAAATCCCTTGACATTAAAGTCTCTCTGAATCACTATCCAATCTTAATTCCGTGATAATATTTTATCATAAAATTCATAAAACTACCCCTTAATAACCATTACTAAATTACCGAGGCCCAAGAAAACCAAAAATTTGTGCATTTCCTCAAATGCCCCATGAATTCTACTAATTTATTGGAAAATACCCCCTTCTTCAACGTGTTGCACAACACAACCCCTTCCCTCCCACATAACCATGGAATCATCCCTACCACACCCAGCCACCAATTCATTGCACCAACAACTACCAATAAACATAAGCTACAACCTCAACCCATCAATCAAAAACACAACATCAGCCCAGCAAATCAGCAGCACCATCACTATTATACACAACTAGCAATGAAATAAACATTCAAATTCAAATCGATAATTGTTGCCTTTAATTTTAGTTCAATAAATTCGATTATCCAAAACTCTTTATGTGTTTATAACAAGACAACAGAATCAAGAGATGATTCAAAAGAGAATTTGAGTTGCTTGTGTGTGGACTGGTGTGTGTATGTGGGTATTTGAGTGTGTGTGAAATCACGAGAAAAAGAAGGTGTATGAAAGGAAGAAGATGGGAAGATGTGGGTTTCATCAGGTGTTGGCAATGAGGTAGGGTTGGGGTTGGCACTTGGGGGCAATGGAGTGAAGGTGGGGGATGGTGAGTTACATCACTGGTGGAGTTAATAATGTGGTCAGAGGCGGGTGGGTGGGCATGGTGGTTAACTGGAGTTGGGACAGTGGCTTTGATTAAGATGAAGGGTGTAGAAAGTGGTGGGCTCTTTATAGGTTTGAGGTTATTTGGATATGGATTGTGGCAATTATATGGATGGAATAAGTTGTCTAGGGTTAAGTTTCTTTGGGTTATTGGTAAGGGTTAATTAATCTTTTCAATATTTCTGTTTGTGCGGTTTGCAAACTATTGTTGAAAGGGGGTGCTAGTGTAAATTATCATACCTGTGGGTTCTGTGTGTATTAGTGACAAACTTCAAGGGGTTTGAATATAATTTATCCTTAATAATAGTACTGAGGCAAAGGAAAAATCCTGTTGGTCGGCACCTACTAGGGTAGCCTTATGCAAGTTGGCATATTGCTTGGGGCAAGACGCCCCCGGTCAGCGTATTGCTTGGGGCAAAACCTGCTGGTCGGCACCCTCCTAGGGAGGTCCTTGCCAGTTGGCACCTCACACCCAAATCCACCAAGGCTCAACCATCTCCTTTCCACTTACGTTGCTACGAGCTCCCTCTGGCTCGTCTCTACTAGGCGAGTCCTACTCTATTAAGGATCAACCTAGGACCTAGAGTTTTAATACAATACTACTTGAACAAATAGGAGCTAATGATAAAAACCTAGAAGTAAGAGTCCTGGTCTAACTCTACACCGAATATCTAGGACCTGGTGATGATGTCCATTTTATCACAACCTAGAGTTTGGGTTCCTTTGGGACACAACTTCCTACCACTATAAATAAAGGCCTCCAAGAACCAAGTAGGGCTTTCAATCCTAACCTATTCACTCCATACTCTTCTTCGACTTAAGTATTAGAGTCCTTTTGGCAGCCTCCAGCCATCAGTTCACCTAGGTGTTCTCTTGTCTTGCAGGTTACTGAGAACCACCGACCCTTCAACTAGCCTCTTGGCATTTACACTACCCCAATCCTTGAAAATCCCTCAAACTATAAACTCCAATTTCCCAAAGACACGTTTCTTCAAGATGGACAGAAGTGCTTAGAAGAGAAAGCTCCTCTCTATCATAGCTTACTGGCCCTTGGTGAAAGAAGCAAACCAGCTACCAAGGTTGCCTATTAGGAAGTAATAAGGAAAAAGATAGAGGAGCTAGAAGCCCTCAAGAAATGGCTCATTCTCCAAAGGGGCAATAAACTTACAAGTTAGGCTATACGCCTACCTCGTCAAAGTGACCACCATAATGATCATTCACATGAGGCTCAATCCACCAGTCACATGAACAGGTCACTGGCAAGGATCTATTGAACCAATGATCAGTGTCAAGGCAGACACTCATCGAGACACACTACTTCTCAACGCTTTCCTAGAGACTCTTCACCCAGACGACATCCTCCTCGTCATGTGGAGAAAGGGGTGAGTTGCATAACGAAAGACACCCTTGGGAATATAGAGAAAGGAATGGGAGTTCAACCTGTTACTCTACATGAGATGATTGGTATGATGATTATGGAATACAAAAGCATATGTGTTTTGATCCAGCTTGCGAAAACACCGACCATCCTTCACGCAACATTGGCTAAGATAACCTTGTGTACTCGGCCAAAAAGAGGGCAAGGTAGACCTTGCTTTAGATAACCACAACTCCTTTGGTTTGATCCATACAGGAATCCGAGCCTCCATATAAGTTCTCTCCTCTGTCCTTCGAGTTGTATGATAGAAAGTTGGATCCGGTCATCCACATAGAGAACTTTACTAATAAGATAACCCTTTGGAAGAGCAACGAGGTGTTGATGTGTAATATATTCTCCTCTAGCTTTGGGAGATCAGCTCTTAAGTGGTTTTATGGGATGCTCATGAACTCGATTTTCTCTTGGGAATAGCTTGCTGGGGAGTTCATATATTGATTCATAACCAATAGTTGAAAGCTGATGACAATTGACTCACTCTTGGTAGTACGATAGAAACATAGAGAGACTCTCCGTGAGTATGGCACAAGGTACTTGGAAACCTATACTGACATAGAAGAGTGCGATGAGAAGACCGCCTCTGTCTCTTCCTGTTTGAGCCTCCCAAAGGAAAACAAATTGAGGAAGCATCTCAACATGTGGCTGCCCCAAAGTATGTCACACTTGTAAGAGCATTTCAAGCAGTATGTGAAGGTGGAGGATGACAAGGGACCAGTCAATTGGCTACCAATTTTTCCAAAGAAGAACCAGATAGAGGAAGACAACACTTCCAACCCATCAAGGAGAGATGGATCATCCAAGGGAACGAGAGACTCTTACCAAGGAACCAACACTATCTTCAAGGAGCGTATCTATCAAGTCTTAAAACAAATTAAAGACAAGCGATGTTTTAGATGGCCACCTAAGATGATAGTAGATCTATCAAAGAGGAAGCAAAAGCTCCCTTATTCTTATCACAAGGACAAAGACCACCAGACGGAGAATTGCTAGACACTCAAGTGCCAACTAGAAGAATTAGTCAAGCAAGGCACCTCTCTCTGTACATTGACAAGGAAAAAACTGCCAAGGAGTAGGGAGAGCAACAAATCTACTCAGATGACCAACCAGATTACTAAGTTTTACTTTTAGCTTAGTTGATAGTGTCTTATTATTTCAATAAGTCTTCAATGACATTTGTTTCTCATTCTTGTTGATTAGTAAAAAGATATTTGTTTTTCACAACTTTAAGTGTTCCTCTATTTGTGGTTATTGCAGCTTGCATGGTTGCCCCTTAAGACTTCTTCACCTTAAGCCAACCTCCATGGTTGCACCTCAAGGCTCCTTCACCCCAAACCAATCTTCATGGTTGTACCTCATGCCAACATTTATGGTTGCACCTCAAGCCATCCTCCGTGGTTACACCTCTAACCAACTTTTGTTGTTGCACCTCAAGCCAACCTCTACAGTTGCACCTCAAGGCTCCTTCGCCTCTAGCCAACCTCCACGGTTGCCCCTCAGGGCTACTTGGCCTTTAAGCTAACCTCCACGGTTGCCCTTCAAAGTTACTTGGCCTCCATGCAACCTTTAAGGTTCCCTTCAAGGTTACTTGGTCTTCATGTGACATCTAAGTTGCCCTTGATGGCTACTTGGCCTCCATACGACCTCTTCGGTTGCCTTCAAGGCTACTTGGTCTCAATGCAACCTCCACAGTTGCCCTTTAACCTACTTCACCCCCATGCAACCTCTAAGGTTGCCCTCTAAGTTACTTACTTAGCCTTCGAAGGATGACCAACAACTTCTACGATTGCTTAGTAGGCTACTTAGCATTTCTTAAGGATTTTTCACCTTTGAGCATCTGACAACTTAACTCATGGCAACCCTTACCCATTGGTCTGAACGGGGGGCACAAGTGTTAGGGGATTCAGACCACCACCACCAAGGAGCTTCTCCATGATCTTAGGAATTGGGAAGTCAATCTCAAGCCATAAAACATCCTCCCAAACTAGATATGACCCATCGATCCCAACTTGAATCTCAAGCAACTCTTATTGCTCAACTAGCTTATGAGCAAAGTAAGTCAGTCCATTGTACAAGCAACAATGAATGCTTCTCATTTCCTTGTATCAGCCAAGCTCCAACCTATGAACCAAGTGAAATACCACAAAAAGAAGTAAGTAAAAAGGAGAAGAGAAAGAAGAAACTTAAAACATTAATCATTTAGGAAATAGAGGCCTAAAAAAAAAACTAAGTCCTCCGAAAACATACCTTAATTAAATTTATTTGTTAATTGAGGTATGAGGGGTAATTGTGAGGCAAAGGCAAAAGTCTGTCGGTTGGCACCCACTTGGGTAGCCGTATGCCGATCGGTATATTGCTTGGGGCAAGATCCCACCGGTTGACACCCTACTAAGGAGGTCTTTATCGGTTGGCACCTCATACCCAAAGCCACCAAGGCTCAATCATCTCCTTTTCACTTTACGTTGCTACGAGCTCTCTCAAGCATATCTCTACTAAGCAAGTCTTACTCAGCTAAGGATCAACCTTGGACCTAGAGTCCTAATACCATAGTACTTCGAACAAATAGGAGCTAATGATAAGGACCTAGGAGAAAAAGTCTTGATCTAACTCTACACCAAATATCTTAAGTGCTGATGATGAGGTTCATCCTATCATAACCTAGTGTTTGGGTTCCTTTGGGACACAACTTCCTACCACTATAAATAAAGGCCTCTGGGTACTAGGTAAGACATTCAATCCTAGCCTATTCACTCCATACTCTTTTTTAACTTGCGATCTGACTTAAGCATCAAAGTCCTTTTAGCTGCCTTCGACCATTGGTTTACCTAGGTGTTCTCTTGTCTTACAGGTTACTTAAAGTTTCCTCATTGTCCTCTCTGTCTATATGAGGTGGTTACTTTTTGTCCAAAATTATACCCACACAATTTAGAAGTTGAGCCCCCACGTAAGTTATCTCCTCTATCCTTCGAGTTGTATGATGGAAAGTTTGATCATGTCATCCACATTGGGGCCTTTACTAATAAGATGACCCTCTGGATGAGCAAAGATGCATTGATGTGTAAGATGTTCCCCTCTAGTTTAGGGAGGTCAACTCTTAAGTGGTTCCATGGGATAACTATGAATTCGGTCTTTTCTTAGGAACAGCTCACAGGGGAGTTCGTCTCTCAATTCAAATCCAATTGTC